TGTATTTTTTAAATTGTGGTAAAATATATAAACATAAAGTTCAGCATTTTAGCCATTCTTAAGTGTACAGTTCAGGCATTTAGTACATTCAGTTTGCTGTACAGCCATTATCACCATCTTTGCCAGAGACTCTCCATACCCATTAAACATTAAATACCCCTTCTTTCCTTCCCTGGCTTGATAACCACCATTTTACTTTCTGTATCTGAATTTAACTACTCTGGTTGCCTCCTTAAAGTAAGTGATTGTATAGTATTTGATCTTTTGGCTGACTTACTAAAGTATCTTAGAGGTTCTCATCTTGAGCAACTTTGTTGCCCTTAAGGTTCATTCATGTTGTAACATGTGTTAGAATTTGTTTTGTTTTTAAAACTGAAAAACATTCCACTATGTGCCACATTTTTTTAAGGTTTTAACCTTTCAGTTGGTTGGCCCTATGACTATTTTGAATAAGGCAGCTATGCATGACATACAAATATCCATTTGAGTTTGCATGTATTTTCTTTGCTCTGAGTCACCATAGATTCCAAGTCACATCTGTGGTGAGAGGAAACTATTCCCCAGGCATTAGTAACCTGACCAGTCCTGAGATAATGATTAAGCAGACCATAGTTTGACCAAGACTGTTGGACTGTGTGTAATATTTCTGGTCTCCATTATCTACATAATTTGGAAGCACATGATAGTACCCTGAGGACAGGGCTAAAATGCTTTATCTCACTTTTCCTTCTAATTATGGCCATATTTATTATACTTCTTTCCCTGCTTTTCATCATTCCTTTTTTTGTTTGCTGTTTGGGGCCTGTGGCCAGACATGATGTGTTAGTAAATCCTAGAGTAGGACCTCCTGACCTAGGACTCCTAACATCTTTCTTTTGATTATATATCCAGAAGTAGAATCTCAGGTGATATGGTAATTGGATTTTTAATTTTTTTTTTAAGAAACCTCCTTTACATTTTTCATGGCAGCTACACCACATATCATTTCCAGCAGTAGTACTCGAGGGTTCCAATTTCTCCATATCCTCATTACCACTTGTTTTCTGCTTTTTTATTACTAGCTATCCTAATAGGTATGAAGTGCTATCTCATTGTCATTTTGATTTGCATTTCCCTAAATATTAGTGATATTGAGCATTTCTTCATTAAATTTTTGGGAATATGGCCTATATTTCTTGTTCAAAAGCAATTTGTCATATAGTCAGCTCAATTTAATCTTAAATTTTTATTGTTGCAAAAAAACATTAGAGGATCATGAGAATTCTTAATCTGAAACACATCTGGTTTCAGAGAGTACATGAAAAGTACCAATGCCGCAGTCTGGCTGGGCACAATTCAGGAGCCACTTGTCAAAAGAAGCTAACTTTATTTTTAGAACACACACACACACCAAACCACACAGCTCCTCAGGAAAAACCCTCAGAGCCCAACTGCCACCACTGGCTTCCCACAAGCCTCTCCACCTCCCCCACTCCTCCTGCTCTTGAGGCTGATTGGCTGGGTCGTGTGGGTGGAGCCAAAAAAGTCCCCCAATGAGCAGCTCCGTGGTCTGAAAGGGCAGGGAAACAGCCCAATGAGCATCACCGCAGAGGAGCCAATCAGTCGGCAGCTAGAAGTTTGCTGGGGCCGCTGTGAGCCAATCATCTGCTGGCAGCTGGAAGTTTGCTGGGGCCCCTTTCGGCCATGGCTCTCAACAGAAACACATCTGGTTTCGGAGAGTACATGAAAAGTTACCATGAAAATAAAATTCTATCAGATTCTCAAAAGGACATATGATACCCCGAACTCCTAAATAACTAAAATGTTAAAAATCATCTTTTTGTTAGATCAAACTAAAGTAATTCTGAAATTTCAACTTTGTACTTTTCTGTGTTTTCCAGAGTATTTTATATAATTGTGTATGTTGCATGGGATCTCTCTTTGTTTGTGTGTGTGGTTTTAATTAAATAAATGCTATTTTAAAACTTTAAAAGTAAAATCCAATCAGGCACAGAGGTACACATGTGTAATCCCAGCTACTCTGGAGATCATAAATTAAAGGCCAGCCTGGGCAATTTAGCAACTTTGTCTCAAAGTAGAAAGTAAAAAGGTCTAGCAATGGAAAGAGCTCTTGCCTTGCATGTGTGAGTTTAGTCCCAAGTATTATCAAAAGAAAAAAACATTTAAAAATCCATATTTAGCTCTTGGACCTCCCTTAAAAAAACAAATCTAAGAACTAACAGAAGATAAAATGAATATGTTATATTCTTTTTTTTTTTAATTTTAATATTTATTTTTTTAGTTTTTGGCGGATACAACATCTTTGTTTGTATGTGGTGCTGAGGATCGAACCCGGGCCACACGCATGCCAGGCGAGCACGCTACCGAATGAGCCACATCCCCAGCCCCGAATATGTTATATTCTTAAGATTGTTAACCTCTCTTAGGACCATGGCATTTCCAAGTATAAAAAGAATGGGCCCCACATTAATTCAGTTATCTCATACTAGACAAAAGCGCCAAAAACATTCTTTGGAGGAAAGATAGCCTATTCAACAAATGGTGCTGGGAAAACTGGAAATCCATATGTAACAAAATGAAATTAAACCCTTATCTCACCCTGCATGAAACTCAACTCAAAGTGGATCAAAGATTATGCCCAAATCTTACCATGTTGGCTTAGGATTGTGTGAGAAGTAAAATCAAGAATCAATAAAATGGGATGGATGAAAAAGCTTCTTCTAATCAAAGGAAATGATCAATAACATGAAGAGAGAGCCTACAGAATGGGAGAAAATCTTTACCACAAGCACCTCAGAGCATTAATCTCCAGGATATATAAAGAACTCAAACTCAACATCAAAATAACAGTTAACCCAATCAATAAATGGGCTAAGGAACTGAACAAGACACTTAACAGAAGAAATGCAGTCGATCAACAAATACATGAAAAAAAGTTCAACACCTCTAGTGGTTCCAGAAATGTAAATCAAACTACTCTTAAGATTTTATCTCACTCCAGTCAGAATGGCAGTTATCAAGGATACAAGCAACAATAAATGTTGGCAAGAATGTGGGGGAAGAGGTACACTCATACATTGCTGATGGGACTGCAGATTGATGCAGCCACTCTGGAAAGCAGTATGGAGATTCCTCAGAAAATTTGGAATTTAATCACTATTTGACTCAGCCATCCCACTCCTCAGTTTATACCCAAAGGACTTTAAATCAGCATACTGTAGTGACACAGCCATATCAATGTTTATAGCAGCTCAACTCAAAATAGGTAAACTATGGACCAACCTTCTGTTACACAGATGCTAATTCACAATAGGTGGAAGTTAGGGAAGAATAGAGGTACTTTGGATTAGGCAGAGGGGAATGATGGGAGGGGAGGGGGTATGGGGGTAGGAAAGAATAGAATGAATCAGACATTGTTACTCTAGGTGCATATATGACTACACAACCAGTGTGATTCTATATCATGTACAACCAGAAGGATGAGAAGTTACACTCTATTTATGTATGATGTGTCAAAATGCATTCTACTGTCTTGTATAACTAATTAAAACAAAGAAAAAAGGAATGGGCTGGCTTTACAGCTATAAAAAAGAGATATTTATCTTTGAATTCATTTCTTCTGAATTCATCACAATAAAACATTTGCATTTGAGTTCTTTATTATAAGCTTTATTATAAAGAGAATGTATGGGTTCTGTAACTAGAAAAACAATGTTTACTAATGTATCTATTTCAACTGAATTTTATTACAGGAAAGTATTTGCATGAGTCCTTTGTAATGAGATTATACTGATTTTCCTACAATATCTTTACATAGTACTTTCTCTGTTGATCCTTTGGGAAAAGATATTAAATTTTTCAATTTAATTTTAGGTCATTCATCACATAATATTAAAAGCAACCTGAAAGAATTCTCTAAATATTTATTTCACATAGATGGATATATATACCTGTGTATATTTATTAGCCTAAAAAACTTTAGGAAATCTTTAAGATTTCATAAAGACCTTCCCAGGCCATCTCAATTATTAAAGTTTATTGTCGAATCTCCTTTGTCTTTTAAGCTTTTTGGCTAGGTATAAGAATATTCCAAATAAGGTTGAAATTCCCCTACCACTTAACATGGGAGTTATATTCCAAGGCTGCCAGTAGAACAGTTGTAGCAATGTCCAGGCCTACCTGAATTGCCAACATCATTACTCTTGGAACCATTATTAAGTAAAATAAGAGTTACTTGAACACAAGCACTATGATACCACAAGAAGTCCACCTTTTGACAACTACTAAGTGTCTACTGGGCATGTACCATATATGGCCTGGATACACTAATATGGACCAAGGAATGATTTCATGCCCCAGGCAGGATGAAGTGAAATTTCATCACACTGCTCAGAAAACTGCATAATTTAAAACATAAGAATTACCTGGTTGCAGTAGCACACACCTATAAACCAACTATCCAAGAAGTTGAGGCAGGAGGATTGCAAGTTTGAGATCAGCCTGGGAAATAGTGACATAGCAAAACCTTGTCTCAAAAAAAATAGATAGATAGAAAGGAAGGAAGGACTGGGGTTGTAACTGAATGTAGAGTGGTACTGGGTTAAATTTCCAATACCACCAATATAAATAAAACTTACAAGTTATTTCTGAATTTTTCCATTTAATATTTCAGACCACAGTTGGCCTTGGGTAACTGAAACTTTAGATACAGATAAGGGGGTGCTTCTGTTGTATCTGGGTCTTCATTTCTTCTCCTATTAGACTGGAACTATATGGTCTTATTGTAGTCTTACATCTGATCTATATATCTGCTGAACTATAATGTTCCTCTTATAAACTTTTTCTTTTTTGTTGTTGTTTTGGTTTGTGTGTTTAGTGCTGGAGGTGAAACTTAAGGCCTCATGCATGTTGGGCAAGCATAATGTATCACTAAGTTATACCCCCAGACCACATTTTAAAATTTATATTGATTTTTTAAATGTCTATTTTTCCTTTTTTAGCTCTATGCAGGAGCTATTCTTGAAGTCTGTGGATGAAAATTGGGGAGGTTCCCTCAAGTCCAAGGTATGTAGTAAACTGTTTAATCATTTAAAATCAATATTGCAGAAGAATAGTTTCATTAAATAATAGTTTCATTAAATAATTTCACAAATAAGAATTTTCAGGATTATACTTTCTCAATAGTATACGAAGTTTTTTCACATTTCTTTGTATGGAGGTGGAGTTTTGTCATAATCGGTGAATACCAAGTTACTTTCCTATAAACAAACAGCATATGAAATTTAGATTTAAAACAATGTGTGAAGTGGTTGTAGTTTTGAAAGGACACTGCATTTCTTTTGCCAGGTCAAATCTTTGACAGCCTTTCCTTTACCAGATATAAATGTATTTACTTTGAATAACATACCATTCTAGTTTATTTTTAATGTGAATTTATTTACTTAGAACTCCTAAGGATAAGTTGTATGAAGTGAAGGTAGACTGGTGCAACATGACAAATCACCAAGAGAATAAGTACCATAGAATTTGTAATACACAAAAGAAAGCCATAATGTGTATATCCTTGCGGGGAGTTTAATGGTAAATATGTTAAAGGATAATTATAAAAATATGTTCTTTTGGTTAATATTAAATAGTAATGGAACTTTTATCTCCAAGGAGGCTTCAACTAATGCTTTTTTATTCTACTCTTACATGTCATTTGAAAATCAGTTTTATGAAATTGAACTTAACTGAAGGTAATGAAGCTCTGTTTTTATTTAACAGAAATATGAACATTTAATTAAGTGTTCTGATTATGTACCTAATTCTATTATGACTTTGTCAATTTTCCCATGATTTATTTTCTTATTTACTTACTGACAAGAGAGTTTTTTGAATTTAGTATTTTTTAAAATTTCTTGTTAGCACGTGCCTTTGATTACTGACCTGGAATGGTTTTATACCAAATTACTGCTCATTTTGGCACAGAAATGTAATACAGTTGTTTTGAGGGACTTTTTTTAGGAGACCCCAAATAGATACACATACACATCTAATTGAATATATTCTTTGTTAGAATAATTACATATTCTGATATAGCACCCGATTTATTAAATATCTGTTCCCAGAAAATTTCTATTTATTCAAAATTTAGTTCCAGCATTATTTTTTTTTATTGGTTGTTCAAAACATTACAAAGCTCATGACATATCATCTTTCATACATTTGATTCAAGTGGGTTATGAACTCCCATTTTTACCCCAAATACAAATTGCAGAATCACATCGGTTACACATCCACATTTTTACATAATGCCATATTAGTGACTGTTGTATTCTGCTACCTTTCCTATCCCCTACTATCCCCCCTCCCCTCACCTCCCATCTTCCCTCTCTACCCCATCTGCTGTTGTTCAATTCTCTCCCTTGTTTTTTTTTCTCCCCCCCTTTCCCCTCACAACCTCTTATATGTAATTTTGTGTAACATTGAGGATCTCCTTCCATTTCCATACAATTTCCCTTCTCTCTCCCTTTCCCTCCCACTACTCGTCTCTGTTTAATGTTAATCTTTTCCTCATGCTCTTCCTCCCTGCTCTGTTCTTAGTTGCTCTCCTTAAATCAAAGAAGACATTTGGCATTTGTTTTTTAGGGATTGGCTAGCTTCACTTAGCATAATCTGCTCTAATGCCATCCATTTCCCTGCAAATTCCATGATTTTGTCGTTTTTTAGTGCTGCGTAATACTCCATTGTGTATAAATGCCACATTTTTTTTATCCATTCATCTATTGAAGGGCATCTAGGTTGGTTCCACAGTCTAGCTATTGTGAATTGTGCTGCTGTGATCATTGATGTGGCAGTATCCCTATAGTACGCTCTTTTAAGGTCCTCAGGGAACAGTCCTAGAAGGGCGATAGCTGGGTCAAATGGTGGTTCCATTCCCAGCTTTCCCAGGAATCTCCATACTGCTTTCCAAATTGGCCGCACCAATTTGCAGTCCCACCAGCAATGTACAAGTGTACCCTTTTCCCCACATCCTCGCCAGCACTTGTTGTTGTTTGACTTCATAATGGCTGCCAATCTTACTGGAGTGAGATGGTATCTTAGGGTGGTTTTGATTTGCATTTCTCTGACTGCTAGAGATGGTGAGCATTTTTTCATGTACTTGTTGATTGATTGTATGTCCTCCTCTGAGAAGTGTCTGTTCAGGTCCTTGGCCCATTTGTTGATTGGGTTATTATCTTATTGTTTAATTTTTTGAGTTCTTTGTATATTCTGGATATTAGGGCTCTATCTGAAGTGTGAGGAGTAAATATTTGTTCCCAGGATGTAGGCTCCCTATTTACCTCTCTTATTGTTTCTCTTGCTGAGAAAAAACTTTTTAGTTTAAGTAAGTCCCATTTGTTTATTCTTGTTATTAACTCTTGAGCTATGGGCGTCCTATTGAGGAATTTGGAGCCCGACCCCACAATATGTAGATCGGAGCCAACTTTTTCTTCTATCAGATGCAGTCTCTGATTTGATATCAAGCTCTTTGATCCATTTTGAGTTAACTTTTGTGCATGGCGAGAGAAAGGGGTTCATCTTCATTTTTCCCAGCACCATTTATTGAAGATGCTATCCTTCCTCCATTGCATGCTTTTAGCCCCTTTATCAAATATAAGAAAGTTGTAATTTTGTGGATTGGTTTCTGTGTCCTCTATTCTGTACCATTGGTCCACCCACCTGTTTTGGTACCAGTACCATGCTGTTTTTGTTACTATTGCTCTGTAGTACAGTTTGAAATCTGGTATCACTATACCTCCAGATTCACACTTCCTACTTAGAATTGCTTTTGCTATTCTGGGTCTTTTGTTTTTCCGTATGAATTTCATGATTGCTTTATCTATTTCTACAAGAAATGCCGTTGGGATTTTGATTGGCATTGCATTAAACCTGTAGGGAACTTTGAGTAATATCGCCATTTTGATGATGTTAGTTCTGCCTATCCATGAACAGGGTATATTTTTCCATCTTCTAAGATCTTCTATTTCTCTCTTTAGGGTTCTGTAGTTTTCATTGTATAAATCTTTCACCTCTTTTGTTAGGTTGATTCCCAAGTATTTTATTTTATTTTTTTTTTTTGAGGATATTGTGAATGGAGTGGTTTTCCTCATTTCCATTTCAGAAGTTTTGTCGCTGATATACAGGAATGCCTTTGATTTATGCGTGTTGATTTTATATCCTGCCACTTTGCTGAATTCATTTATTAGTTCTATTAGTTTCTTGGTAGACTCTTTTGGATCTTCTAGGTATAGAATCATATCATCTGCAAATAGTGATAATTTAAGTTCTTCTTTTCCTATTTTTATGCCTTTAATTTCTTTTGTCTGTCTAATTGTTCTGGCTAATATTTCAAGAACTAAATTGAATAGAAGTGGTGAGAGAGGGCATCCCTGTCTTGTTCCAGATTTTAGAGGGAATGCCTCCAGTTTTTCTCCATTTAGAATGATGCTAGCCTGAGGCTTAGCATATATAGCTTTTACAATGTTGAGGTGAGTTCCTATTATCCCTAGTTTTTCTAGTGTTTCGAACGTAAAGGGATGCTGTACTTTGTCGAATGCTTTTTCTGCATCTATCGAGATGATCATATGGTTCTTATCTTTAAGTCTATTGATGTGGTGAATAACATTTATTGATTTCCGTATATTGAACCATCCTTGCATCCCAGGGATGAATCCTACTTGATCATGGTGCACAATTTTTTTGATATGCTTTTGTATTCGATTCGCCAGGATTTTATTGAGAATTTTTGCATCTAAGTTCATTAGAGATATTGGTCTGTAGTTTTCTTTCTTTGAAGTGTCTTTGTCTGGTTTCGGGATCAGGGTGATGTTAGCCTCATAGAATGAATTTGGAAGAGCTCCTTCTTTTTCTATTTCTTGAAATAGCTTGAAAAGTATTGGTATTAATTCTTCTTTGAAGGTTTTGTAAAACTCCGCTGTATACCCATCCAGTCCAGGGCTTTTCTTGGTTGGTAGTCTTTTGATGATCCAGCATTATTTTGAACAGAAATTTTCACTCTTTGTGTTCCATTAGCAGATCTCACATAATATTTTGCTATATTCAGCAAACTAGTCTTTTGCCTCTATCAAACTAGAAACTCCTTTAAATTCCAGATTTTTTTTTATTTCTTAATATACCCAGAATCTACCACTATTCCATAAGAAATTCAATTATTGAATTATTGCATTGATTTACTGAATTTTTCTAATTCAAGGAATATTCCCACTTTTGACAGATTGAAATCTAATAAAAAGTCTTTTTAACATTGTGTATTTACTCTTGGTTAGTTTATAGGCTTCAAGCATTTCTTTTCTTATTTTGTTATTTTGTAACCAAGAAGTCAGACTTTCTAGTTAGTATTGCTTTTGTGTTTTATCTCTGTGACCTCCCAAATTCTCTTAAATATTTGGGTTGCCCTTTTCTGGATATTTTTAAGTGCTTTAAATTGTCTTCTTGGTATTGACTAAAATGACTCCTACTTTTGCACTCTAAAAGGTTCACATACAATAATAAATTTTCTCAATTTAGATTTTTTGGAGGGTAGAAGGGATAACCAATAACTTACAATGAGTTCATTTGAAAATTCAATTATATTTAGTTATGCTGATTTTATATTCTTATTGCTGGATATGGTATGGCATTTTTATTTAGAATTTATTCTAATTCATATGTACTCATCTAATCAACAAGAAAACATCTGTCCATCTATGTAATTTTATATAATGGTTCACAAGTCTTAATTATATCTGTCATGAGCTTCATTTTTTTTTTTAATATTTATTTTTTAGGTGTAGATGGACACAACGCAATGTCTTTATTTTTATGTGGTTCTGAGGATCGAACCCGGGTCCCACCCATGTTAGGCGGGCACTTAACATAAGAACATTTTCTATAGATAGAGATAGGATTAATTTAAAAATCTCCAAATCAATATTATTAAGCTGTTTTTAAAATAACAGAAAGTAAACTAGAAAATATATTACCTTTATGAGATCATTTTGCAAGTTTGTGGACTTTTAACTGTAATATACCAGCAGAGT